CCTTAACAGTGGTATTGTTGCTTTCCCAATTCTTTTTATTGTTTTAGGGTTTGTGTAACTTTAAGGTTAAGACTCATTAATGAAGTTATTTTTAATTAATTATATATAAATTTCCCAATTCTTTTTATTGTTTTAGGGTTTGTGTAACTTTAAGGTTAAGACTCATTAATGAAGTTATTTTTAATTAATTATATATAAATTTTATATTAGATTTATATTTTGTTATAAATTTTAAGTATAAATATTTTATTTTATTTTTACATTTTATATTTTATTTTATTTGAAAATCGTATAAAAATTTATGTAAAATTAATTATAAATATTACAATTAATAAGATTCAACCTATGACAGATTAAAAAAAATCTTATTGTATTATATTTGATTAAACTCTTAATTTAGTTTCTTAGTTGTTGTATGGGTTTCTTAACCTTATTAAAAAATAACTTATATGTCCTGTAATTAATGTGACATATGATTGAAAAGTGATGGTTTTTGCTGTCAATTAACTAACATGTTAGTTATTTTTTAACAAAAAGATCAATTTGAAACCAAACTTAAAAACTTTAAAGATCAAATTATGAATTTTTTGATTCAAAAATCAATTTAAAAATTTATACAATAATTAAGAGATCAAATTAAAAGTTTAATCTTTATAATTTTCATTTCTCTCCTGAAAAAAATGCATCTTTGTTATTCTAGGTGTTCTAAATAAGAACTTCCGTTTTTCTGGTTTTCTTTTATTTACTTTAGCATTTAAAACAAAAAGGAATGAAAGGCATTTTATTTGATTCTTTCTCTTCCAATATTCTTGATTAACCCCATCGATTCTAACCCTTCTATATTCAAACTCTTATATCCAGAACACCCCATCGTAGATTGCACCGTCACTAGCCATGCTACACCAACAATTGTATCCCAAGCGAGCCACACCTCACAACACCTTTCCTCAGTCTCTCTCAAGTTCCCAACTCCAAGTTACTATCCAATACTTCTTGTTATAACTTGATTTTTATTTGATTTATTTTTTAAAATATCTCAAATTTTTTACAATTTTTATTTCTCATAAAATTTTAAGTTTTAAGGTGGCGTGAGAGATTAATGCGAAATATTTGTAAAAGGAAAATTCATATTAAATTAAATTAATGTCATTTTCTACTGAATGAAAAACATTTAAAATCTGTGTTTTGTTTTGCGGGGACTTAATCGTGATACTCATTAAAATGAAGGATGAAACTGTCAGGAAGATGAAACTTATGAACTAAAGCACAAAAAGAAAACGCCAAACGAAGTCGTTTTGGTGTAGGGGCGAAAAACAAATGTGCTCACTTGCAGACGATGGGCGGCAAGGGCAGGGGCCAGAGGGGATTCCTCCCTCATCCATCACTTCTCCTTTCCATCCCATGTGAGAAAAACTCATCTCCTACTTCCACCGCCCTTTTCCTCCTATCAGATTGCAAGGTTTGGAGACACATCAGCTGTCCATTTCCTCCATCTCACGCTCTTGGATCAACTTGCAGGCCGCAGGGAATCTAGGGCGTGTAGGTAGGCGGCAGATCGAGGGTGAGGAACAGTTGAGATTGAGAGAAGGTAATGTTGGAGTTAATCCCGATTTTGAAGCTAATTGTTTTGAATGAGTCCTAGTTAGTGGAGTTTATGTGTCCTACTATTGTGGTTGCTGATAACCACGTTTCCTTATCTTTAAGTTTCAGTTTGTAGTGGCTAGAAAATAGGAGTTTATGCTTTATTAGCCTATTATAAATAGGCAGTTGTTATTCAGTTTAAAATGTAATTATCTTCATCTATTTCCAGCAATACAAGTGCCTCTTTCTTCCTCTGTTCTGCTCTGTTTTTTGGTTGTTTTGCTTTTATCTCCTCTGCTACTTCA